CTCACAGTCCATGTACCTGTATATATATATTCAAAAGTATCAGAACAGACAGAGATCGAGATATACAGTATTAAATTAGATAGAGATGGAGATTATGTACCTACGGATAACTCGATATCTAGGAGAATGAATCACCACTCGAGTGTAATTCTTGAAATTTTGAATTTCTTCCAGTGAAATATACGCGGCAAAGCCATGATTCACACATTTGGCGAACGGAGTTAAACTCATAACTGGCACGGGTTTTGAAGAAGCCAAAAAACAAGGCTACAGTGAGTTGATAAATCCATGAGTCAAGCTTGTTGTAGTAGCAGCAGCTTCTTTCTCAACTACGATACGAGATCGTGCCCTAAATCCATCTAGAATGTCTTTTCTACCCACATTCATTGTGTTATCAATAAACCTTTTTATAGTTACTGCCTTTTGTTCACTTGAATTTTCCATAAAAATATAGGATAGTCCACCTTTAGGCGATGTGTCACACAAAAATTTATATAGACAACTTCAGTTATAGATACATATACCTTTGGCGACGTGATCCTTTCTTATTCACTTGTATTGGTGGTTGATTAAGAAAAAAAACTGGAAACAAGTATATTTGTGGCATCGATTGTACAAGTTCGTGTATATATATATATATATATATATATATAATCCATGAGAAGGGTAACACGATAAAAATGCAATCAAAACATGAGTTTATGGAATGTTTGGTATGAAGAAAAATATTTTCTCTATCGGTGTGTAAGGTATAGGGTGATGGAATGCGGATGTGTTGGAGGGTAAGAAAAAAAATAATAAACTTCAGCTACAAACACTTGTTTTATTAGTAAAGAAGACATTTATTTCATCTGAATTGTTTATCTAAAGAAAAAATGTTTACCAAAAAATTTTTAGTAAAAAAATAATTATTTTTTTTATCAAAAACACCCTTAAAATTCTATATACCAAATCAAAAAAATTCACTGAATTGAGTAACAATTTTCTCTAGTGTACAAATTGAAAAGAGAAAAAAAATATATTAAAATGGAGACATAAAAAAACCTTGAAAACATATATTAAAAAAATGATTTAGCTACAAAATCAATCGCCCTTAGCATAACATGATCTTTTGATAAAACTTTGTTTATTAGTGACAGATTCTTATTATTTAGCTATTAAAAGAAAACACATTCATTTTCATGTGTGTGAACCAAGAAAATCTAGCTACTAATTGATTGAAAAGAAAAAATTACCTAGCAGACTTGGAATAAACTTGGACTTCACAAAAATAGAACCACGGAAGTCTGAATGTTCCCTGCAAGAGTATTTTTAGCACTAACATTCTTTTAGTAAGAAAATGTAGAAAATCAAGGTAAGTTTCTATCGAGAATAATAAACAACTTGAATGAAATGAAAAATTAAAAGCCATACCAAAAGATGTGTTTGATTGTTCATCATTTTTTGAGGAAAAAAGAGAGTTTTACATAGGTAAAAATAACTCTCCCTTATGCTACGTGCCTAATGAGCAATATTGCTTTGGGTTATCACCTTAATAAATACTAAACACACTCACAAAACAACAGAAAACTACTCATTACAAATTTACACAATACACCTGTCTTTTGAAAGTTAGCTATGCATCAAAAATAATAAGGTAAAAAAAAATATTTTATCACTAAAAAAATATATTTTAAAATAAAACATTCTATATCTCCATAAATTCCTATATAAATTAATTTATATAACACGAGTAACAAATAATTGTTAATGAACTATGTCATACTTTTGAATTCATACGACATTTTAACTATGTTGAGTGCATATAACATTTGAATGACAATAAATAATTGTTTTTTATTTTTGAAAAATCAATTTAAGATATAAATATAAAAAATCAAATGAATTTACATTGGATGAAAATTTAATCATCTATTAACAAAAATGCATTATACGTCTAGATGGGTGAATACTTTTTTTAAAAAAAATAAATTAAAGGGTAAACATGATTTGTGCACTTAGTCACACGTATATTGCACCAAATGTGTTGTTACTTTTTTAAAAAAACAAAATCAGTTGTGTGAGAAAAGATCCAAATTTTGCTCACATACACACATTTTTAACCTCATTAGTTATTCCTTTTTTGTTTTGTTATTACCTAGGAACTATCGACCGTTTCTATTCTAAATATCATCTGACTTAAAATTAATGAAAAAAGAATAATTTAATAAATAATAAATATCTAAATATTTTCTTTATTTATAATGATCAATATTATGGACAATTATAATTATATAGTTTTTTATTGATAATTTATGTAGTTATTAATTAGTATGGTGTAATTAATTAAAAAGGATAGCCAACAATCATTTAGCATATTATATCAACGATTTAAAATTTTAAAGCGGAAACAAAATCTAGGTATTGTTGCTTCCCTTATTTACTCACGACCTTTAATAGTTAGATTAATTTGACTAATTTAGAATTCGCGGTAATTATAGCAATGATTATTTTTTAGTTACAATGTCGACGATTTAACTTACGTCGTAATTATTATATCAACGATTGTTCAAATTGTTATGTCAAAGATCATTTTATGACATTATAGTGTTAATGATCATTTTATGTCAACGGTTGTTTGTGTCGTTATATCAAAAATTTGATCGAATTGGAAGAAAACATAGTTACTAGTATTTTCCTAATTACTAACGACATTTAACCGTTAGATTAGTTAGTTAAGCAACTATGACCTCAGAGTAATTATGTCAAATTTTTTGTCGTTACATATGTCCGCGATTACTCGTGACATTATGCCAACGATCATTTTATGTCGTTATTATGTCCACGATTGCTCATGTCGTTATTCCAATGATAACTTTATGTCGTTATTACGTGACATTGTGTTACAGATCCTTTATGTTACGTTGTTAGCCGTAGAAATCCCACATCTAGGAATAGAGAACTCAATGATTATATTGATGAATAAAATTGTTGAGTACATAAACCTTATATAGGGACACAATACTAAAGTCCTAAGTTAATATACTTAGAATCTTACTACAATGTCTGCTACTACTATAATAAAAAATAATTTTAAATAATCTAATCTTAGTTGGACTATAATCTTAATCATAAGTCGACTTCGGCTAATACAATAAGTAGCATCCTAGTCGATATATATAACTAGTCTAATTCTAGTGTCACTCTAATTCTACAACAGTGTTGTAAACACGTTAGTAAGCTTTGTTGGACCTATTCCTTTGGCATGTTTCAATCACCAGCTTCATTCATCTTCAACACTTCCCCTCAAACTAGAGAGTAGATGAATAGTTAACCTAGCTTGCTTCGAATACCCAACAAAAACTTATCTTGTTAATGCTTCTGTATAATACGATGTCAAGTCGTTGTTTGTGATAGTTCATCTGCAAATTGATACGAGTAGTCCCACTAGTAAAAACACTTAAGCGTAATATGATAATTCCTACTACAAATTTGACATGACTCAATATTGTTCATCTCCTTATTTTCACTTGGATAACTTTGATTATTTTGAGAACCTGATCCTTATTGAGTGTTCTAAGAACATGTTCCAAGAACATGTTCCTTATCCAACATACTTGAAACTTGTTTGTCTGGAGTTGATGTTGTTGTTTCATCATCTCCTGCCTCTTTGAGCAGATAATACCATGTTATGAATTTGTTGTGACACCTCTTCTCTCTTATATCAAAATTAGTGAGAGTAAATAAAATGATTAAAGGTTTGATATAGTATGTTATCTAACATTAAAGTCATTAAGGTATTGTATTTAAGACCTAAACCTTTTGCAAAATTAATTATTTTGTTATCTTCATCGACATATTTGTGAATAGTTGCAAGGCCATAACATATGCCTTTGAATTCCTTGATGTATTCATCAATTTTTTGGTTCATAGCCCAACAGTTTATAGTTGAAGTTAGAACTTTTAATCTTTTGTTGCTTGAAGATAAACTTTTTCCAAGCATTCCCACATCTCTTGGGCAATTGAGCAGCCCATAATTAGGTACACGTTTTATTCGGTGAAGGTGTCTGAGATCCAACTCCTTAGCAATACATTTTTCTCCTTCCAATCATCAATGACACCACTATATTTCGCATCCTTCTCAACCGTTGCTATCTAGCGGAACAACTACTTTTAGTTGTTCATTATTTGTGATGAGATATGTTAGTTTCATCACCTGAATCAATTGAGATATTTTTGTTCTCCATATGAGATAGTTTGTTGGCTTATGTTTAGTGCGTAGGCAATAATAAATTGGTGAAGTAAGAAAATAGACATAGTATTGTAAGAAGGGACCATTGCAAGAAATCTCATGTTTATAATTAGAGAAATCAATGATTGTATTGATGCATAAAACTATTATGTACGTATTTCTTAATTCTTATATATGAGGCAATCGTAGAATTCTAAGCTTACATTAAATATTATTGTTTTGAACTATATTGAACCATTTTAGGTACGCAAGTAGATTCGAACCCAGTGAAATTGCTTGTATATGGGTGTAAAAGTTGAGTCTTAGATGTGGAAGGTGTATGGGTATGAATCAAGGTCATGAGAGAGCTTAAATTTAAAGTCGAGTTAAAAAATTTTCTACCAATTAATTATTTGTATAAGTTCATACAAGAGCCAACTTCAACCAAATATTTACTCTAAAATAAAAAAAGACATATGGCCGTTATATAACAAATTAAAGGTTTATGAGTCTAATTTTTTATGAGATCATTTTTCATTCAGACTTTCCTACAAAATATTATGATCGATTTATTAAAAAGTAGAAGAATTGGGAAATTATGCGACCATAAGTGTCATTGCTCTCTTTATGTTATATGCACTTTGGACCGTATAATTGCCCCCTAAATTTCAAACATTCTATTTATTTATGCGATCGAAGTACTCACTATATTCGGTTGTGTTGTCTGCACTTTTGGCATCGCACAATAATCAAAAATTCTTTTTAGGTAAAAGAGTCTGGTCAATCCTTATACTTGTATGTGTTTGTATTGTGAACTTTTCTACTCAATCATTTGTCAAATTAACAAGTTACTGCACATTGTAGAAGATCTGTATAATGTTAGTCTGATTTGTGTCAATATACACCAAATGACCTATCTCTTAAACCAGAAGCCTAGGTTTAAATATAGCAATCTGATGTATTTATGTGTATCATTCTCATGTTTTGGATATTCTGTGTTTGGGACCTCCTGGTAAGTTGTGAATTCATAGTTACCTGCAAAAACAAAAGCAAGGTTAGCAAAGTAATCAACAAGAGTATTGTCTCCATTAAGGAGTGTTGTACTCTTACTACTAGCAATTCCTTCATCCTTTTAATAGAACTTATGTCTAAGGCCACACTCAATGGTGTATCATACACTATTTAACATATGCACAATTGGCAATGAAACGATTTCTATTATAATGTGATTATAATTTTTATTTTGCAAACCTTTTTAATGTTCGGTCATAATTATTTTTAAAATTATTAATTAAAGGTAAAATAAAAAAATTAATTATATTTTTAAAAAAATAAAACCTATTACATTTTCTCCCAATCCCACTTTTCACGGCCCAAGTCGTCATGTTGTCGTATTTTTGCCGGTGAATCAATCATATTTCGTCCGCCTTCATCTCCGCCGCACATCATCACCATTTTCATTTCCTCTTTCAACCTCCACAATATCAACTACCCAAGCCACCACACCAGATCTAGCCAAACACCATCACCATTTTTCTCCGCCATGATTAGATCATCGCACCCTCACCCACCTCGTTCTCTTTCGCTGACCAGTCATGCCTCTCTCTCTATTCCTCCACTGCGTATCATGGTGTCCAAAGAGCACCACCAACGCCGTTCTCTCCCTCCGTGGGTGAATTAGTGGATCGATCTAAATATATGAAAATAAATTGTGGAAAAGGAAAAAAAATTGGGCAGGGGATGGATATGACTGAAAAAAGAGCTATAATGGGTGAAGAAGAGTTTTTTAAAAAAAAATAATGGTTTAAAAATTTTCTTTTATAATTTCTAATATATTTTTTAAGTAAAAATTCTCCTCACTCGCCTTAATAGGCGTGTAGTTACACACTTTTATCAACTCAAACATCTAATGCCACATAAATCTGATCAATTGTTAGAGGGGTTTGTTAAACTGTGTTTTATTAAGTTTAAGGGTTTACTTGACAAACATGTAAGCAGAAGAATTCACAACATAAACTCATACAAGTACAAGATTCACCGGACCATTTTGCCTTTTTCTTTTTGAACTTTCTTCTTCGAATTTTTCACTCTCACCAACCCTAGGACAATTTTCTCTCCCCTTCTCCTCTCATATCATATCCTCACCCTTTGACACGTAGATATGAACTTTTGCCATTGTTTAACAATTATTTCACTATAATTTTTATTGATTTAGAAGCTAGATGTGTCATATCATTGACATAGTATAGTAATTTGAATTTCGAGAGAAAAAATACTATATTTTTTAATCGTAATATTTAGTGCATATTTTTTCCTAGATTAGAATAGAACTATATGCTAATTAGGTCAAAATTTTAGAAATCATAGTGTCAGACATATTTTTACTTTCAATCGACGACGTAATGAAGACCACGTGTCATTTTAATAATATATGCCAAATGACAGTGGGAGCACCTTAATCCATAACCTTATCATTTTTTTCCTCTTTCGAATTTAAGTCATTCTTTACATGAGCCTAAATAATTAAATTCATGATAATGTCGTCGACATTTAATAAGTAGTTTCTGTTTGATTATATATACATATTTTGAATATAAAAAATGAGATATAAAAATTATATTTTTTTTTATATTTAAAGTTATGTTCGAGTATATATTTTAGTTTCAAGAATATTAGATTTATTAGGAGGAAAAATCAAATGAAAATTCTCCAAATCAACTAATTTGGACTGGGTTTTTTAAATTTGTATTATTGTTTTTAAAGATAAACTCTTAAAATTTAATTCATGGATTTTAATTATATAAATATTTAAAAAATCTAATTTAATATCGTTTAATTGTCTTTGTGAGATCACATGATTCACGTAGTACATATACTTTTAATTGTTTAATTTGTAAAAATTGTGACAAACTAACATCATCTTAATTATTCTAACTTTTGTTCATCCTTTTTATTCAAATAGTCCCTTAAGTTTGGAGTAATTTTTATTGTACAAATTAAGCCCTTTTAGGTCAAGTGATCATCTGACCATACTCAAATATAAAATGATTCACTTAAAAAAAAAAGTAACAGCATACCATCTGTGATCCACACCATCAAGTTTCAAATGAGTTTTTCTCATTAAAAGAAAAAAGTTTTGATTCTCTATTTTTCCATTTTGTTTTTTGGAGCTGAAATTGGAAAACAAAAAGATTAAATTAAATTGGATAAGAAAACATCTTTATTGAGGTCATTTAATTGTGTTGGTGTTTACTTTTTTTTAAAAAAAAAATCATAATTGGAATTTTTTTAAGATACAAAAAAATATTTATTGTAGTTGATTTTTATTTTTTTTTTCTTAAAAGGAAAAATAGTCCTATTTTTCTCTAATGAAAATGTTTTGAACTTCGTTGTCAGGGTTAAAATACTTCAGAAGGAGAATTTGTTACTATATATATTCTCCCTCTAACTTCTTTATTACTATTAGTATATTGCCATCTCCTTCCGTATATATGAATTTAATTTAAACAATGTTATAAAAATGTTTGTTACTTTAATTTCAACTATTAATAGCATAGATACGTTGTATTCAATGAAAGGATTCAAGCATTTAAAAAGTTACTTACTACTTAATAGACATAACAAACAAAGTTTTCATACAAACTGAAATGAACGAAATTGGAAATAATCAAAAAAGAACATTGATCAACTGCAAAAACAAGCATGCAGTGACCCTTTTAGTAGACTATATGTTCTTCTTCTTTAACTTAAATCAACATAACAAAAGAGGACATGAATGTCCATAAGCTGATCTGATCAACACCTATCCCCAATGAAAAATTCGACTTTATTCGATCTCCCATCATCATCATCACCATCATCATTTTTCCTTGCACCACTTGGTCGCTTTTTAGGATCTTTCACCGGCACCCGCTGTTCAAAGTAAGGCACCACATCATTAGATCTACATTTAGAGCTGCAAAACTCCGTATCTCTGCTCAACCACAAATACATAGTAGTATTTATTATGATCCATATATATAAATTTTATATATTTGTCACCAATTATATATTATTGTACCTGTGGAAGAAGATTTCTTCATTCTCTAAGCTCTTTTTGCAGATTTTGCATCTCCGTATTTCACGCGGCGGATATTTTTCCTTATAGCCCACCAAATGCACATGACTTTGCTGTTCTTCTCTTTGACAAAGAGTATTGCGAAGAGTTTCAACATCCTCCTCAAACTCCAACTCACAGTCCATGTACCTGTATATATATATTCAAAAGTATCAGAATAGACAGAGATCGAGATATACAGTATTAAATTAGATAGAGATGGAGATTATGCACCTATGGATAACTCGATATCCAGGAGAATGAATCACCACTCGAGTGTAATTCTCAGAATTTTGAATTTCTTCCAGTGAAATATACGCGGCAAAACCATGATTCACACATTTGGTGAACGGAGTTAAACTCATAACTGGCACAGGTTTCGAAGAAGCCAAAAAACAAGGCTGCAGTGAGTTGATAAATCCATGCGTCAAGCTTGTTGTAGTAGCAGCAGCTTCTTTCTCAACTACCATACGAGATCGTGCCCTAAATCCTTCTAGAATGTCTTTTCTACCCACATTCATTGTGTTATCAATAAACCTTTTGATTGTTACTGCCTTTTGCTCACTTGAATTTTCCATAAAGATATAAGATAGTCCAACTTTAGGCGATCTGTCACACAAAAATTTATAAATACAACTTTAATTATAGATACATATATGTATAAATAATCCATGAGAAGGGTAACACAATAAAAATGCAATCAAAACATGAAGTTTATGATGTGTTTGGTACGAAGAAAAATATTTTCTCTATCGGTGCATTAGGTATAGAGTGATGGAATGCGGATGTGTTGGAGGGTAAGCAAAAAAAATAATAAACTTTAGTTACAAACACTTGTTTTATTAGCAAAGAAGACATTTCTTTCATCTGAATTGTTTATCTAAAGAAATATGTTTACCAAAAAAATTTTACACCCTTAAAATTCTATATACCAAATCAAAAAGATTCACTGAATTGAGTAACAATTTTCTCTAGTGTACAAATTGAAAAGCGAAAAAAAAAAGAGATCAAATAACAGTAATTAAAGCTCGAGAAGCACAAAGATTCACTGAATTGAGTAACAATTTTCTTTAGTGTACAAATTGAAAAGAGAAAAAAAAAGAGTGAAATCTAATAACACTAATTAAAGCTCGAGAAGTACTTGTGTATATCAAAACACAAAAGATTTGGTTTGCAAAATGTAAAATGGAGACATAAAAAACCTTGAAAACATATATTAAAGAAAAAAATTTAGCTACAAAATCAATCACCCTTAGCATAACATGATCTTTTGATAAAACATTGTTATTAATGACAGATTTTTATTATTTAGCAATTAAAAAACACAGACATTCATTTTCATGTGTGTGAACCAAGAAAATCTGGCTACTAATTGATTGAAAAGAAAAACTTACCTAGCAGACTTGGAATAAACTTGGACTTCACAAAAATAGAACCACGGAAGTGTGAATGTTCCCTGCAAGAATAATTTTTAGCACTAACATTCTTTTAGTACGAAAATGTAGAAAATCAAGGTAAGTTTCTATTAAGAATAATAATAATAATAAACAACTCGAATGAAATGAAAAATTAAAAGCCATACCAAAAGATGTGTTTGATTGTTCATCATTTTTTGAGGAAAAAAAAGAGTTTTATATATATAGGTAAAAATAACTCTCTCTTATGCTACGTGCCTATTGAGCAACATTGCCTGGGATTAGCATCTTAATAAATACTAAACACACTCACAAAACAACAGAAAACTATTCATTACAAATTCACATAATACACCTGTCTTTTGGAAGTTAGCTATGCATCGAAAATAATGAGGTAAAAAAAAATATTTTATCACTAAAAAGATATACTTTAAAATAAAACATTTATTTCTCCATAAATTCCTATATAAATTAATTTATATAACACGAGTAACAAGTAATTGTTAATGAACTATGTCATACTTTTGAATTCATACGACATTTTAACTATGTTGAGTGCATATAACATTTGAATGACAATAAATAATTGTTTTTTATTTTTTTTTCTTTTTGAAAAATCAATTTAAGATATAAATATAAAAAATCAAATGAATTTACATTGGATGAAAATTTAATCATCTATTAACAAAAATGCATTATACGTCTAGATTGGATGAATACTTTTATTATTATTTTTTTAAAAAAAAAAAAAGGTAAACATGATTTGTGCACTTAGTCACACGTATGTTGCACCAAATGTGATGTTACTTTTTTTAAGAAAAACAAAATCAGTTGTGAGAAAAGATCCAAATTTTGCTCACATACACACATTTTTAACCTGATTAGTTGATTCCTTTTTTGTTTTGTTATTACCTAGGAACTATCGACCGTTTCAATTTTAAATATTATTTATCTTAAAATCAATGAAAGAAGAATAATTTAATAAATAACAAATATCTAAATATTTTCTTTGTTTATAATGGTCAATATTATGGACAATTATAACTATATGAGTTTTTAGTTGATAATTTATGTAGTTATTAATTAGTATGGTGTAATTAATTAAAAAGAATAGCCAACAATCATTTACCATGTTATATTAACGATTTAAAATTTTAAAGCGGAAACAAAATCTAGGTATTATTGTTTCCTTTATTTACTCACGACCTTTAATAGTTAGATTAATTTGACTAATTTAGAATTCGCGGTAATTATAGTAATGAATAATTTTT